GAAACACAAGCTTGGGCACCAGGAGGTGTAACAAAGTGAAGAACTATCCTGGAGGGTCACAGTCATGGAAGACGACCCACCTTTGCCGAGCAACCTCATCGTGCCACCCTGCTGCTCCTCTTGGCAAGTGCCTAAAAGGAGCCAGGAGGCGTGGGGCCTTTGCTCTTGACACATTTGTGCAAGTGGTAGGGCCTTCCAAAAAGCGACAATACAAAATGGCCGCCCCTGGAGAGGTTTGCAATGCCCCAGGAAGAGAAGGGTTCTCTGAGTAAGGTTACTGACTCCAGCTTGGGAGAAATTCCTGGAGATTTGGGGTCGGTGCCTGAGGAAGGTGGAGTTTGCAGAGGGGAGCGAGCTCAGTGGGGACCTGACGCTAAAGAGTCCACCACCCCCCAAAGCCGCCATTTCCTCCAGAGAGGCTGGTCTCTCTCTGGCATCTGGAGATCAGTTGTACCCTGTTTCCCCGAAAATAAGACCTACCCCAAAAATAAGCCCTAGCAGGATTTCTATGCATTTGTGGTATAAGCCCTAGTGTGTCTTCTGGAGAAAAAATAAATAGAAGACAGTGTCTTATTTTCGGGGAAACACGGTAGTTCCTGGAGAACTCCAGGCTCCTCCAACCCCTACTCCCGATCTGTGGTCTAGGGACGGCTGCTGAACAGCATGTACTTTATAGGTATGTTATGCAATGGACCTTGAGAAGCTGGGGGGGGGGGTGTGAACCTGTGGACAAGGGGCTTCAGTTTTGAACACACAGTGCTGTGGTATAGTAATAAAGATAGAACAGTGCCAAAGATACTTGGGAAAGGGGTGGATGCGGAGTTTTGTATGGGCATATATACGCCCAGAAGCCCATCTTTGTCATTTGAAGTTAAGGAATTTGAAATGTTCCCAATCAGGATTTGTAGTTATTTGGTTTAGTTGCATTATCGGCTTGAGGCAGCTTCCTAGAGGCTTGGGGGTACAGCTGAAGCATATCCCCCCTTGTTTCGGGGGGACCGTGTTCAATCATAGAAACGGACTAATCTCCCCCCCCCCTTCCCCCAGTGAGAGCTAGCTGACGCAAACGAGGGTCTGGTTATCTCTGTGTAAAAGATCATTCTGGTGGTTTTTTTAAATTCCAAAATATCTGTGTCATCAAATGCCAGAGTTTTGTTGTGCCATGGCGGTAGAGAAGCAACAGAGAATGGCGTCGTGTTATCATTAGGGATGCCAGCTCTGAGCTGGGAAATATGTGGCAATTTGGGGTGGGGGTGGGGGGGGAGCCTGGGGAAGGCGGTGTTTGGGGAGGGGAGGGGCCTCAGCAGGGTACAATTCCATGGAGTTCATCCTCCAAAGCGGCTGTTTTCTCCATGGGAACTGATCTTGGACCACTTGTAATGGGAGGGATCTCCAGGTGCTTCCTGGAGATCGGCAATCCTAGTTACTGCTTAGCCTTTGTGTAGGGCTTTAGTGGTCAAAGCCCTGGGGGTGAGGCTGCAAGAATGATGCTTAATCCCAAGGCTACCTAGCGAGTCCTTGGCAGAGATGAAATCTAAACTTCGGAGGCTTCTTGTTCTCAGGCTAGGTAGCTGCTATACTGCGGCCGCCTACCTGAGGTTTAAGGCCACCTCCGAACACAGCATGTTGCCTCCCTGGGGAGAGCTCTTGGGGAAACCTTTCACGAGTCGTGCAGGGAAATGTTTCCTTGGAATGGCTCATCCTCGAGAGTTGCTCGAAAAGACAATTCACCCCCCCCACCCCTCCACTGTGAGCTGCAGCTGCATTCCCGGATAGAACCGGTTTTGCAGAATTGTCTTCCATCACCTCTGCACAGATGATTCGTTCTGACAGAGCACGTCTACAGGTGCACATCTAAGGGGAGAAATCCAAGGCTTGTCACATGCAGGTGGAGATGATGCCCACGGGGACTGACAATCCAGAAATGATTTCAGACTGTACCCTGTGACTGGGGCCACAGGGACGTCTCCACATTGCCACCTCCTGTTCCCGGACCCCCAAATCCCACTTCTCGAAGAGATCCCGGAACTAGTTCTGTCTGTCTACACAGTGGGTAGGGGAAATGTAGCCAGAGTTCTGTAAAAAAAAATTTTAATCCAGGATTGCATTTGATAATTGCGGAATCCATTCTTTCTGGTGCAGGATTTTAGACCTCTTCCTTAGAAGCTGTGTCCCTCACTCTGAGCGCCCACCGAAAGGAAAGCTGCACTTAACAATGTAGAGAAATGCTGAGCTCATATGTGGGAACAGAGGAGTCAGTGCCTCTGAAGGTGTGCAGAGTGTCATTGCCTTTACGACAGAGTAATCTTGGACAAGGCTTGTCTGAGATCAGAGGGAAGGATGCACGAGGCAACTGGCTTCCTCATATAGGTTTGGCCCCTGCATCTCTTTTAAAAAAAATTCAGAGCAGGTGGGAAGAGGGCAGCAAGATAACCCCCACACACACACGCTCACACTCACACACGACACTATCCTCATGGGAGAGGAGATTGATGTGAGTAGTCAAAATGGGAACATTTGTTTCATGACCCTCTTTATATGACTCTCACAAAAAGAATCTGTGGCAGAGCAGGGAACTGATCTCTCATCTATTCAGGTGTCCAGTATCCTGGTGGGCAGCTAGCCGTTTATTGCTCCTAATAGTTCTTTAGAATGGTGCTTTCAAGAACCAGATCCCTGTCAGCTTAGGTCTTGCTCTTGCACGTCAGATCTGTGCCTCTCCGTCCTGGGCTCTGTCCTCTTGTCCCCACCCCACCTGATCGGATTGCACCTGCATTCACCTAGGCAAGAAATCCAGTTTTTGGCAGTCACGATGTATATATTTTTGAGCCTACGTTGCCCCCTGGTGGTCATGCCTCATCATTACAGCTCATAGTGACAAATGTTCACCTCACGATGGCTACTAAAATATTTTCGCAGGTTGATTCTTTCTCCCCAAGGCAGGGCGGCAGACCTGCAGAATGTGTTGTCATGGTAAAGCGAAATGGCGGACAGGATAATCCATTAATGGGGTTTTTTGTACTGCTTTGTTGTTAGGGTGATGTAATCCTGGGTGTATTCCAGGCATCCTTGTGCAGAGTGGGGGTATGAGGAGAAGGATGCCTTTCCTAGAAATGATAACTTTGATAGGTATACTGCACGTGCTGCAGTGTGTGTGTTTAATCTGTCTGAAGTTTCAGAAAGCAAAAGAAGCCTTGAGCAGGGCACAGTCAGATGGCTATGTCTGCTCCATCCTCGATTCTTTCCCATGATTCCTAGCTATCCCCACTCTTCGTGTGAGGGTCAGGCCTTGTGGTCTAGAAGCAGACCTGAGCAGCTTGGTTCTGGACCTGAGCAGCCTCAGTCTAAGAAGGTGGGCCAGGCAGGGTCCTCCTACAGGCCCCTCGTGCCGACTCACCTCTGCCGAGTTGATACCGACATCCGGCCAGCCGCACTGGGTGTCAGCAAGCTGCCATTGTGTTGTATGTTTTCTTCTGCATGGTATACTGTACTCGGTTCATCCCCCCTCTTGTTGCCTCTTGTGTAGGTGTTTACTTTCTGTTGCTAGCACACCGCGGAACTGCTCAAGGTTAACCAGCTGGTGGTGGGAAGGAGTTATGGCTTGCTCTCCTTATCATGTATTCTGAGGCCTGAGAACTGAATTTGTGTTTATGTAGTATGAACCGTTGTGTTCCCAAGGAAAGGGCGCTAAGACTTATCACACTCCCGCCAGCGGGAATTGGGCTCATTGGTCCTGTCTCGGTTCAAGTTCCTTTATTATGTTTCCCTTGGACTGTCGTAGTCATTACTAACAATGATTGTGTTCCTGATATAACCATCTCTTCTAATAAATTCTATTTTGTTCATCAAACGTGGATTTACTTTGAATGAATGGGGAATCGGACACTGGGGCTGCTGAAGTGAAGCACAGCGCTTAGGGTTGCCGGCACTGGGTTGGGAAATACCTGGAGATTTGGGGGGCGGAGCCTGGGAGGACGGGGTCCGGGGGAGGGAGGGACCTCAGTGGGGTACGGTGCAGTGTTCCCTCTAAGCTAAGTTAGTCTGAGCTAGCTCACAGTTTTTTAGCCTCCAGCTCCCACATTTTTGTCTTAGCTCAGGAAGGAGGGCTCCAGAGCAGACTAATCTGTGCAGTAGCCAAATCACTTGCCCACAACTTTAATGCCGGTAGCTCACAAAGTAGAATTTTTGCTCACGAGACTCCACAACTGAGAGGGAACATTGGGAGTCCACCCTCCAGTGCAGTCTTTTCCTCCATTGGCTGTCTGGAGATCAGTTGTCGTTGTGGGAGATCTCCGGGTGCCACTTGGAGGCTGGCAACCCCAACAGAGCTGGTCGGCGGCCTCCGACAGGTGCCCACAGTGACTCGGGCAGCGGGGTGCTAGACAGGACGTTGTAAGCACCATGGTGGCCCCCTTCTAAGTCCATCGGAGCCAATGGGCTTAAAAGGGGGTGTGGCTCTCTTTAGGCCTGCACCATGATTCCTGCTCCTAACGTATTCTGCTGGCGCCAGCATCCCTTAAGGGTGGGGCAGCTGCCCGGGAGCATAGCTTCTGGCCGGGCCCATTGCCACGACCCCTCCTGTCCACACCTTTCCCTCCACACACCGAGTTGCTCACAAGCCTTCCAGCCGCCAGTGCTTCTGGCCACACGCACTGCATGGCCCCACCAGGGGGAAAGGGACACGTGTGGGGATAGCAGCGTAGGTGGCAGCAGGGCCCACAGGCAAGCAAGGTGGTGGGGAAGGATACATGGACATGGGGTGGGGCGCAAGCAGGCGGCAGGCAGGGGGAGGGGGGCCCAGGATCCTCTGCTCAGGGCTCCCAGGATCCTCTGCTCAGGGCTCCCAGGCAGCCTCAGCCCCCCGGGGTGCCCCAAGAACCCGCAACTGGCCCTGCCTGTTGCCTTACCAAAAACAAACAACCCAAAGGGGTCGTCGTACACGTTTAGCTGCTTTCTTGAAGAACCAGTCTGACCTTGGCCGTTGCGGTTGTGTTTTTCAGTCTTGGTGTCCAGATCCTCCCCAAAGAAGCCTCGCGGCCGGAATATCTTCAAGGCGCTTTTCTGTTGCCTCCGTGCACAGAATGTTGGGCAGACGGCCTTTGGCGGAGAGCATGGCCCGCACAAGGAGGAGACCAGCACCATTGCCAAGGTAAGGGGAGGCTGAGGTGATCACCTGACTGTACCCAGGCAGAGCTAGCAGAATCAGAGCTCCTTTTCGGCTGAGATTTTCTTTTTCCGGCACCCTGCCATCTTAGAGGCTGCCCCTTAGGAGACCATCTGCACCCTGGGCCTCCAACTCGGGAACACTGCAGGTCTCTGTAGGCACAGAGGGCCTTTCTGGATAAATTATTATCTCTTGTCTATGTCTGCTGCTCCCAGGACCCCACATCCAAATCTGTAATTAGTCCTTCTGCTAACCAGGATTCTCAATAACCTTAGTTAGCCTCTGTTTACATCTGTTTTTCTTCTTAACAATCAATTACAAAATGCCATCTGCAGGCAGATAACCGCTTTGAACGCAGCTTCTTCCAAGGCTGTTTAGTATACTGCGGGCCATCCCAGAATGCACTGCTTTGTAAGCTATAGCACAGAACCTGTACACTGAACAAATTTGACTGTATTTATATCCCTGCATGCATATAGGCTGAGAAGCCATAGCCAGTCTCGGATTCTCGATGCAGTGACAGGCAATAAAATCCAAGTACATAAGTGAGGCAGAAATGCATAAAGTTCTTGTAGGTAACTGCCTTATAGTCCCATCCTTCTCCTAACTGCATACGCTTAATACCACAGACTTGTACCTGTGGTTGTGCCATCCTGCCTTTTCAAAAAAGAAACAAAGAAACAGTGTCTTTTCGTTGAACCCTGCAGCCTATCCCTACACTCTTACAATTAAGGGTTTCTTTCCAAGGCAGATGGGCAGGGAGCCCCCCCCCCGTGTCTGTCTGTCTGTCTGTCTGTCTGTCTGTCTGTCTGTCTGTCTGTCTGTCTCTCTCTCTCTCTCTCTCTCTCTCTCTCTCTCTCTCTCTCTCTCAGTTAAGTACCATTTCCTTTGACAATACATACCTTTGAAGCTTTCGGTGTTTGTTGTTCCACCTGTGCCACCATTTCAGTCTGATGCTCACGTGCTTGCTTTTGGCGCTGCTGCTGCTGCTACGTGCAAGACCTTTGTAAGGAAGAAATGTGTGACTTCTTCTCTTTAGAGCTTTTAGTGGGTTAGTCAAGAGGCTCCCTGAGCTCTCTGGTGGTGGCATGACAGTCTCTCCTTTTTCGTGATACCTACATCTCCACTCTCCTCTTTTTTTCCCCCTTTTAGTCTGATCTGTTGCAGTGTCTTCAATACCAGTTTTACCAGGTATGTTTCTGTTCACAAGCTGGGAGGGGAAATTAAAAAAAAAAATACACCTGTGTCTTCCCCTACAGCCAGGGCTGTGTTTAATCTGTCCACAACTGTGCATACCAGCTTTCCACCAAGACAGCACTACTTTCAGGTCAAATGTAGGCAATCTGGCCCCCATGATGCCATCTATCACTGTTTATTTGCTCCAGTCCTAACCTGGATAGCCCAGCCTAGCCTGATCTCGTCAGATCTCGGGAGCTAAGTGAGGTCGGCCCTGGCTAGTATTTGGCAGGGTGGCCTCCAAGGAATACCAGGGCCATGACGCAGAGGCAGGCAACAGCAAACTCCCTCTGAAACATCTCTTGCCTCAAAAACAAGTCTAGCTCGCCACTTAGTGGTCCATAACACTAAAAGAGCTAGAACTTCTGGCTGCCAGACAATCTTAAGATCTCCTGACTGTTCTACAGACAATGCCATACGATAATTAATTGCTTCGTTTATGTCCTGCCTTTCTCCTCAACGGGGACCCAAAGCAGCCTATATCGTTCTCCTTTCCTCCATTTTATCCTCACAAAAAGCCCATGAAGTCTGATAGGCTGTGTGTATGTGATGGGTCAAAGTCACTCTTTTATGGTAGATTGGGGATTTGAATCCAGGACTCCCAGATCCAGACCAACACACCTATCCACTACAGCACTCTGGATCTTGCTGGCCATGTGAAAGGGGGCAAGGGAGCTATACAGAGCATCAAAGTGTTGCCTCCGGATCCCTACAAGTTCTGCCCTTTTGACAATACCCCCATCCCTCAATTCTGGCTTCTAAAAGCGATGGGCTAATTGAATTGCCGCTAGCCCCCATTATTTTGAATGGGACGTAGTTGTAACTAATATAAATTTAGAGCTAATCTAGATAATCTCTTGGAAATGTGCTTCCATTGGAAAAAGAAAGCTGAGATTCTCACAGTCTCAAAATCTATGCACCCAGTACTTGGTTCATGTTTGTATATCTTAACTTTGCTGCAGAATGCATGCACGGGCCTGTCTGCATGTGTTTTTGCTCACGTGTGTGTGCTTTTATGAACAAAAGGGAGAAACTGTCCTTTCCCAGCTAAGCAAATCTCTCCTTCTGCCCTGCTGAAATGGAATTCCCTTTCCTTCTGCTGCCAAGAGTGAAAGTAGAAGAGCCATTATGGCCTAATTCAGATGAACTGCGGACAAGATGGTGAAACCATTCCTGGATTGTACCACTTCCAGCTGCCCAGTGGGAGGCTATGATTGAAAACTACCCTTATCAGGGAGAAGGGTCTGCAGGGACTTCCTTCTTTATGGAATTTAACTTCGTTGTGGGAATGGATTTGATGTGCAGAGTCAGTCAACAGGGCAGGCCTCCGCTTGGGACTCTGAAGCCGGGCAGCTCAAGATACAGGGTCGCCACACTTATGCGAACAAGACGGAGGGTGGCTGCCCTAAGGTAGGGTGGGGCTGGGTGCTGTTTTTGTGATATTTGCATAACTCATTGCAAAAAAGCAATGCTGGCCCTCACTCCCCCCTCCCCATAATATCTCCCTGGGGGAGTGTGCCGGCCAAACGTCTACCACAAGGAGACCACTAAGTAGTTCCTTGGAGTGGCTGTCCCCACATCGAAAGCCACCCATGCAGTGACCGGCCATGCACTTAGGACGATTTATCTCATGCTGCCAATAACCCCAAGGGGGAAACTGTGGAGAATATCGCTCTGTCTTGCTGTCCCTGAATGGAATTCCTTGCCACACAAAGGCATCCTCTCCGCAGAGCAAGTTAAAGTAGATTCCGCATGGTGGGTTTTTTTCCTTCTTCCAAAAATTTTCCTACGGCCGACTTTTCTATTTGCATTCTTGAGGTGGTGTACATGTATGGCCTTTTAGCATCGTACCACATCAGAAAATAGAAACCCTGCCGTTTTCCTGTGGGAGGGATTCCAGACAAACGCACCCTTGTGGGAAGTGGAGTGGAAAAGATACAGTGTGGGGACTTTACCCCTTCAGTGAGAGGTCTTCATTCAGCCTTTGAGTGAAGAGTAAGTGCAATGTGATTCGTGTTGGGACACACCCCACCTCCTTCCTATGTAATCTGATAGGATGAGTGTTGGGCTGTGACTATTCTGGAAAGAGAGCTTAGAGTCATAGTAGAAAGTACACTGACAATATCGATGCGCTGAAGGAATTGCCAAGGCGAATTCAATTATTTGGAATGGGATTGGTAATAAAATAGGATAATATTGTTGTATATGAGTCTGTGGCACGGACATATTTAGTATATTTTGTGTCATTCTGGTCACCTTACATGAGGAAAAACTACAGATTGGGCTGGCGAAAGGATACAAAATGGCAATGAAAATGGCAAATCTTTATTATGAAGAAAGGTTTGAGCAGTTGGGTCTTTTAATTTTGCAGAAAGGTTCGCCTAGTGAGGGGCTGGGTGGAGTTCTATACACTTATTCAAGAGGGGAGAGAATGAAATGAATTTTCTTCTTCTGTCAGAACACTGGATTTCAGGGTTACCCCATAAAGCCAAGTGATCACCATGACTGTAAATGACTTTCTTCTGCTTCTTGGGCTGTAGCTGAACTGAAGGGGCCGAATCTGCAGATTCTCCCCGGAGTATTAGGGGACAATAATACTCCTGTATGTTTACTCATTGTGTAGGCAAGGGAATCTTCTGGAATCCCATCTCCCACACAACAAATGAAACTGCAGGAGCCCAGCCTTTCTTTCTTGCTGTCTTGTTACCATCCAGAAAGGGTACAAAAAGTAGACGCTTCCCGCCCCCGCAACCTGTGCCACTTTATATTTTCCTGCAAAGTTGATGGTTTGATCTTGTTTCAAAGCATTCTTTTTTCTTTTAAATTCGACCCAAAGCTTAGATCCTGAAGTGAATGCATAATCATGTTTTTTAAAATGCTAAGGCATGCTGCATACCGGGGGGGGGGGGGTAGTCCTAAAAACAGCTCAAGTACATGTCATCCTATTTAAATGGATTTTATGATGATAGTGTGTTATTGAGGGCAGAAAGATTTTCATCTGTAGAGCATGACTTTCTTGCCTCCACCCCCGCTGTACCCAAAATGCCCCCTGAAGAGAACAGTAGCATATTGGGGGGGGGGGCTGCAGTGGGAGTGGAGGGCTGAGAAAGTTGTGCTCTGCTTATGGAAATCCTTCCGTCTGCGGAAACACTCCACTGTATTAGATCCAGCCCAAGGAGCTCACCTGTCAGACTGCATTTACATTGTTCACACCTCCAGGATTACTGAGCGGGGAGGGAGGCATGTAAACGGAAAGGTGTCTGTAGTCTGTCGCTTGTGACAGTAGATTCATTACAAACCTCAGGCGCCCTTGCTGTATAGCTGTCATCCTGTATTATAAAGAAAACATGTTTAAAAGTTGACATTTTACATTAAGTGGGAGTGATTACCAAATAAGTCTTTAAAAGGAACCCTCACGACCTAATGTTGGATCAGTCTTGGATCAGTCAAAGGGTAGTTTTGCACTTGGCACTGCTACAACTTCTGTGCCTTTCATAAGAGTACATGGACCCTCTGATACAACCCTTGTCTGGAGGGGAGAGGCCTTAGACCGGGAATAGGCAATTCCTGGCATGTGGGCCAAACAGCAGCCATTTTGCTCCGTTTGCACAGCCAGTTCTCTGACCAGGCAGCCAAGGGGGGCCCCTGGTGCTTCTGGGATCACTTCTGTGGTCAGCAGTATGTATGACCAAAATGATGGGCCAAGTTTATGCGTTGTCCTAGTTTTCTGGACTGATACCCACTAGCCAGGTCTCAGATGAATCCTTGGGGAGCTGGCAATGCCGGTGAGGCCTAGTTTGCTTCCGGTGCATCTGGTATGGCCAGATCCTGTTTCTCCTTCCCCTTCTCCAGCCACAAAATCTTCACAGGTAGATGCTGTGTGTTTTTCCGGCACTCAAGCAAAAAAGGTTGTCTACTCCTGCCTTAGATCATATGAAACACCTATATTACATACACAGTTCTAGAAATTTCATATGAGCCATACAGAATGCTTGCACTTAAGCCCATTTCTGAGGGCCAAAAATTTTGTTTTCCACCGGGCTTGAGGCTTATTAAATATTCCTACACTCACCATGGCTCAAGGTCTTCCTGGTGGTAAAATGTGTGCCCCTTCTTCTAGATTCCTGGAACGTGTCTTCTCCCTGAGGTGACTCAGCAGGACAAGGGCAGAATCTGTGTGGTGATCGATTTGGATGAGACCCTCGTGCACAGTTCCTTCAAGGTGAACCTCAAGAGGTGTTTTCTCCTTGCTGCCAAAGGAGACCAAAAAGAAAGGGGCAAGGCCAGCCCCATAGGAAATTTTCTGGCGGGGGGCTTTGGGATTGGGAGGCATCATGCACCCCCCTGACATGGTGACATCACTAGTGACATCACCACGAGTGACTCTCCTCCAAGGAGAGCCAAAGAGGAGGCAGCCTCAACTTGAGGTTCCTCAAAGTCCCAGCAGTCCCGTAGAAGAATGAAGGGCGTGCTCGAGAGCCACCGGATCCCCCGTGTCCAAATTGAAATCTTAAAGGAGGGCAGCTGGCAGCCTCATGTCTTATTTATTTGGGGGTGAGCTGTGAGGGCAGAAGGCAGAGCTGGCACAGCTTCCCTGGCGACTGTGGGCTTTGGTGTGGAGAAGGGCTATTTGGGCGTGCGCTGAGGCATCCCGGTTGCCTCCACACCTTCTGCTCAGATCCCGCCTTGCAGCTGCCATCTTGTCTCTGCCATTTCCCTCTGCACATCTCCTCCTGCGTCTCTTTCTCCTCCTCACTCGGCTGAGGCTGCTGCGGCTGCAACAGCACCAGCCACCCCCCTTCATATTTTCCCTTCCAGCAGCAGAAGGAGGGGAGGGGTCAAGGAGGTGGCGCGGGAGGGACTCTGATTGCTGCCAGGGCCCGAAATCGGACACCCTTGACTGGAACTGAGACTACAAAGGCAAGGGGGATTTTTTTAAAAAACGAGGGAGGTTCCCGCAGTTTCCATCCAGCCCCAAGATGAGTTCTCGTCCCAGCCCCCTTTTGGCCCCAGGTACTAAAGCCAGTCAGACGAGAACGTCAGAAGTTCTCGCTGGCTGACGCTGGGGCTCCCCTAAATTGACACGGGGCACAGCCCCTAAAGCCCCACCGCTGGTTACGGCCCTGGGCAAGGCACCAACTACAAAAAGTGTACAGACGTCACGGTGTGGGGGTGGGGGTGGAGTGATGCGAGGCAGGAAAGTGAAGACTTGGAATTCATGGAGCAAGCTATCCACTAAGGCTTTGTGGTGTGACTTGACTTTTGAGAGGAACAGAAATGGTGTCAGAAATGAGAGCTTGTGAGGGGAAGGCCTATCTTTCCAGCAGGGCCTGGTCTGCCCCTGTTGTATTTCACCATAGAGATCAAGAGATCAGGAGAGAGAAATGACAGGCTTTTGATAATTATCAAGTTGTGTAAAGGGGTAATGCTTCACTGAGGAACAACTCTGAGAAGAGGTGAAGTTGGGTTCGTAGAGCAAAAGAGGACAACCTCAACCACCTTGAGTCCCTCACAAAGCTTTCTTTTCAGAGGAACCAGGTGATTATAATTTTTAAAAAGAAGTTAGATGAAGACTGGAAGTTAGAATGATGGAGCTTAAGGATTCTCCTCTCATTTGAATAAATTATTTCAGAAACAGCCTTCTGTTACTATAAAGATGAGATGTACACCATTCCTCCTGGGGCTGGAGAAGGAGCTCCATTAGTTCACGACGGCTTCCATTTTGATTTTTAAATCTGTCTTGAAGATGCCCTCAGTCCATCAGACTCTCAGCCCTTTACATACATTCTGAATCTGGAAAACACTATGAATACAGTTGAGTTGTGTCATTGATTCTGATCAACAAATTTGAAGAAGATATAAGAAGGTTGAATATGAAACAGGACAGCAGTAGCTTAAAAAGTGGGGTCAAACTGACCTGCAGAAGTTGGGGAAAATGCATAAAATGTTGTTTTCAATCTTCCACCATTCAATACACCTCATAGTAGTCAGTCTTAATGAAATCAATAGCCCTGTGGTGTTTCTGCCCCATATATATATATATA